GTCATCTCAAACGGTTATCATTTATCTGTTGGGGGAATATTTAGTACTCTCCTTCCACATTTTTGAAACCATGTAATGTGTTATTGTTACCTAGTGTCATATCACAGTGCCACAAACTTTTTCCTCCCACCTGGCTGCAACTTTCTATCCTGTAACAAATAAACCCCCTTCTCTCTTCTCCAGCTGGGGCAGTTTGGAAGGTGCATTACGTCACTCCGATATTTCAGCCACCAGGCGCCGGGGCTTGCTACAAGACCCTATTCTGTGGGTGTTCCGGAGACGAGGTCACCACCCACGACCCCCCTCTACTGTTTGATCTGTCCAGGGATCCGTCCGAGTCCACACCCCTGACCCCTGACACAGAGCCCCTGCATGATTTAGTGATTAAAACGGTAGCTGCTGCCCTCAGAGAGCACCAGGCCGGCATCATTCCCGTCCAGCAGCAGCTGTCCCAGTTGAACAAGGACCAGATATGGCTGAGGCCGTGCTGTGGGGTGTTCCCGTTTTGTCTGTGTGACAAGGAGGAGCTGAAAGCCCCCATTCCTCAGTAATAAGCAAAAGAAAAAATTAAAAACGAAGGCCACCCACTCCGGCACTTTCAAATTTGCAAGGTGTGTGCTTGAGTCATAATAAATTCCACTGTTCTTCCAGATTATTAAATACCTGTTGGTTGGGCCACTTCTTGCATTCTTGTGGATAAATGTTTCTCTAAATTCCTTTATCTTTCTGTTTTCCTTTTCTGTTTTTTTTGGAGACAGACTCTTTTGCCCTCAGTAGAGCGCGATGGCGTCACAGCTCACAGCAACCTCAAACTCTTGGGCTCAAGTGATCCTCCTGCCTCAGCCTGCCAAGTAGCTGGGACCACAGGTGCCCACTGCAATGCTCAGCTATTTTTAGTGACTGTGTCTAGCTCTTGCTCAGTGTGGTCTCAGACTCCTGACCTCAAGCAATCCACCTGCCTCAGCCTCCCAGAGTGCTAGGATTACAGGCGTGAGTCACCATGCCCAGCCCTAATTTTCATTTTTTAAACATCTCTTTCAGCACCCGTTAAGGAGCATGTATAGCTGTTGGTTTCATCTTTCCTATTGCTTTCCCTAGAAAACTCTAAATATCACATAAGATCCTATGTGCACCAAACCCATTGATCAAAGAGTGAATTGATAGCCATTTAAATGAGAATGCATTTGAAGAATCTAGTATAAAGGTGGCCCCTGAAACAACCATGAGGACTTGTGTTTGTCAACAATAAACAGAAGCTGAATCCAGGGGACAGAGTCAGCACTAACATAGCAGGTGGTCTCCTGGCAGTCTGGAAGGGTCACCAGCAATAGAGGGAGTGTTGTCCAGAGCAGCCAGATTCCAGAAAACAAGGGGAGAGTCAAAACTGGGAGGGTTTGGTAGACCAAGGCAAGAGGATGACTTGAGGCCAGCAGTTTGAGACCAGCCTGGGAAAGAGGATCTCATCTATACAAAAAATCAAAACAAAACAAAGCACCCAGAACAATCAGCAGGGCTTGATGGCTCACTCCTGTAATCCCAGCAGTCTGGGAGGCTGAGGTAGGTGGATTGCTTGAGCTCAGGAGTTCAAGACCAGCCTGAACAAGAGCGAGACCCCGACTCAACTAAAAATAGAAAAATTAGCCGCATGTTGTAGTGGGTGTCTGTGGTCCCACCTGCTTGGGAGGCTAAGGAAGGAGGATGTCTTCAGCCCGGGAGCTAGGCTGAGGTCACAGCACTCTAGCACAGGTGACAGAGAGAGACTCTGTCTCAAAACCAACCAACAAAAAAAAGCGAGGGGTGGTGGCTCATGCCTGTCATCCTAACACTCCAGGAGGCAGAGGTGGGTGGATTGCTTGAGCTCAGGAGATGAAGACCAGCCTAAGCAAGTGCAAGACCCCATCTCTAAAATTACCCGGCGTTGTGGCAGGTGCCTGCACTCCCAGCTACTTGGGAGGCTGACCCAAGAGGATGGTTTGAGCCCAAGAGTTTGAGGTAGCTGTGAGCTATGATGCCATGGTGCTCTTTTGAGGGTGACAAAATGAGACTCTGTTTCAAAATAGAAGGAAGGAAGGAGAGAGAACGAAGGAAGGAAGGAAGGAATGAGGGAAGGGAAGGAAGGGAAGAAAGAGAGAAAGAGAAAGGAGAGGAAAGGAGAAAAAAAAAGAAAGAGAGAAAAAGAATAGACAGCTGGACAGGTGAATCAGAAAGGACACTGCCAACTGTGTTTCTGGGAAGTGGAATAATGGACCGTAACAGTCTGTGTCAAAACCTTCCTAATGACCTACATATAGAATTTAGAACCTACTCTGTAACTGCACGTAACCTCACCTTCTGTTAATCACAAATGCAAAGACCCTATTTCCAAATAAAGTCTCATTCACTCGTCTCAGGGATTAGGAGATCTTTATCTTATATTTTGTGACGTGGTCATCATTTAACCCAGTGCACCCCTTGTATAATAATAATAAAAAAGCGTCTGGGCTTTGAGGATGGTCTGTAATTTGCTCAGGAGAAGTCAGCTTGTACGTGACTGAACTGGGCCTGGACCCACATCCCAGAAGCCGTGACAACCTCAAATTTTCATGCTAGTGGCCCCCAGGGTGTCTTCCAAGGTATAACCCTATAGGTAACATTGTGATATTTGCCTGATTGATTTGGGGTGCAAGTATTCTTGTTTTGTTGATAAAAGAAGAATCCATAACCATAAAGTCAAATCAAAATAATGCTTGTAACATTAGCTACTGAACAAGGGTTTTTCTGAGTTTGTTTTTTCTTTGTTTTTGGCTGGGGCTGGGTTTGAACCCACCACCTCCGGCATATGGGGCCGGCGCCCTACTCCTTTAAGCCACAGGCGCTGCCCTACAAGGGTTTCTGTTAATGCTGTGTGATCTGAGAAAACTATATGAGACCTTATTACCCCAAATAAGGAAAAAAATTTTTTATAGAACTTGAACAATTTCTCTGCCGTTTCTTGTGCGAATGTTTCCAAAACATCATTATTTTATTATCGACTTTTTAATGAAGGGAGCCGGGCGACCAAATCTTAGAATCTTCACCCAAGAAAGATCTTCCAGGATCATCTCATCAAATCCTCTTTATTTTTTTGTGGGTGAAGAAAAAAAGGCTTCATCCACTAAGGGAGTAGGACGATGAGGTCTAGAGTCCAGGATTTTGGCCCCAGATCTGGTGCTTTCTGAAGTGCTGGATAGAAAGAAATTACCCTGGTTCTACCTGCCTCTTAAACATCTTTGGTAAGATTTCTCAACCTGTCTACCCAGGACCTATTCCATTGGTCAAGTACAAATAAGAAGGGTACTTCCTTCCCAGCTCCGCAGCAAGGATTAATGGAGATCATTTCTACAAAATGATTCTAGCACACGGCCTCATATGTACCGGCTGATCAAATGTGGAGTTTTCTAGTACGTGTGTGGAAAATGTCTTAAAATTAGAGCCGAAAGTTTTGCACGTGTCAAAATGATGCAAGCATTTGCCCTTCCTCTGAATACACCAAACTGCATACTTAAACATTTCCCCTAAGGAAAGGATAAATGATATGTACTTACTTCTTATTTATTTTTTATTTTATTTTATATTTTGAGACAGAGCCTCAAGCTGTCGCTCTGGGTAGAGTGCTGTGGCATCACAGCTCACAGCAACCTCCAACTCCTGGGCTGAAGCGATTCTCCTGCCTCTGCCTCCCAAGTAGCTGGGACCACAGGCACCCACCACAAAGCCCAGCTGTTTTTTGGTTGCGGCCATCATTGTTGTTTGGCAGGTCCAGGCTGGATTTGAACCCACCAGCTCAGGTGTATGTGGTTGGCACCTTAGCTACTTGAGCTACAGGCACCGAGCCTCATTGCTTTTTAAAAATGCATAAGAGGCCAGGGGTTGTGGCTTTAGCCTGTAATCCCAGCACTTTTGGAGTCCCAGACAGGTGGATTGCTTAACCTAAGGAGTTGAAGACCAGCCTGAGCAAGAGAGATGTCACAGTTCTACTAAAAATAGAAAAACTAGCCGGGTGTGGTGGCAGGTGCTTGTAGATTCAGCTACGTAGGAGGCTGAGGCAGGAGGATCGCTAGAGCCCAGGACTTTGAGGTTTGAGTTTGTCTCAAAAAAAAAAAAAGGCATAATTTCTGTTCCCTTCTTCCATTCCAGCATCTAGTAATGTAAGTCGTAGACAAATTAGTTCCTTTCTTTCTTCTGTTTTTTTTTTTTTCTGATTAATATGGGGGTACATCCAGTTAGGTTTTCATTTCATAATTTAAAAAGTTTTTAACTTTTCATAAAGTCCGAGTTGTGGTTGTGTCCCTCACGCAGGACATGTGCCACGTACCCACGCAATGGACCTGCAGGATGGGAACTCACCCAACCCCTTCCCCCTCGCCCCCCACTTGGATTTCATGGAGATTTTCTGTGAGGTCATAATGTACAAAAATGCATTTCCTAATCGTTACACGAATTTAACCGCTAGGGGGCGTGTTAATCTAACCAAGTGCACAGCTCACCCCGAATCCCTGATAGGATGCAATTCTTTTACATGTACATAGCTGGATCATTTTTATAAGAGTAGCATAACTTCAAACTCCATTCTTGGGAAATAAATTTGCCGAGGAGACAGACCCCTTAAAGTCTGTGGTAGCCGACTGCATCAAGAAACTCACACCCACCTGCCATGGGCACCTGAGGTGGTGGGGACTTTGCACGCAGCTCTGAAACCCATAAGATCTCTGCCGGGTGCATGATTGTGTATTGTGCAAAGTTTCTGATA